GGCCCTTTCCTGACCTGCTGGGCTGCATGCTCAGATAAGGATCTAATAGGGATTTTGGGGACGACCCCCACGCCATATTTTATAAATTTTGGTGTGGGGGTTCCCCTCAAAATCCATACCAGACTCGAAGGGCTTGGTATGGATGAAGGGGGGGACCCCACACCAAAATTGACCCCCACCCACAGACCCCCAAAACCACCAGCCATGGTTGTGGGGAAGAGGCCCTTGTCCCCATCAACATGGGGACAAAGCACTTTGACAGCACCCCCCTATGTTGAGTATGCCTGGTATGGTCCGGGTGGGGGGGGGCGCTCGTTCATTTCCCCCCCCTTTCCTGACCTGCCATGCTGCATGCTTGGATAAGGGTCTAGTATGTATTTTTTTTAATTTTGGTGTAGGGGTTCCCTCAAAATCCATACCAGACTCAAACTGCTTGGTATGGATGGACCCCACATGGTCTTTAAACTTTTTTTTTTAATTGTTGGCAATTCTGTTTTTTTTTTTTTTACATTCAGCTGTCATTGGGGAACCCCGCTGACAGCTGACGACTAACAGGTTGTTCAGAACTTGGCGACAACCCATTCCTTAACAACCCATGACAGTACTGACAGAAAGCAGTACATACCGCATGCCTGGACCACTACTTAATTACCGCATGCAATGAATTATTTATTGACTTTAAGGTCTTTCTATGCAGTATTTACTGAGTGTTTTTGCTATTTTTGGTAAATACTGCCTACTAGCAATAGCGAATTGACATTTTCAGTATCGCATGCGATATGTGGTCATGTGACTGACGAAACTCATGTGATAAGCTTTAGTGAATTGCACCCAATATACCTGTTCCAGTGGGCCCTGTACAACTCTTACATCATCTATTATAAGACCTGGCCCCTACCGAAAGTATCAAGGAGGACATTATCACAACTCTTGTCTATTAGGAAGGCCCTGCACCTGAACACCTTCGTTCTGATGCAGCGAGCAGGCTGCACGAGAGACACTTCCCCAATATTATCCCCACCAAAACAGGCCGAAACCCCCTCAAAAAATTCAGTGTGTGCACCAGTAGTAGAATTATACTATTACTATTGTCCCCAGTGTCCCTCACAACCTGGCCTCTGTATGGGAGAAGGTTTCCATCACTACCATACCTCACTACGATATTGGTGAAGGTAAGGTGAAGACATGTATCTGACTCCCTGCCATTTCCCTGTATCTGATGTCATGTGCGCCGACCATTTGCCTGTTTTATCAACCAAGTTTTTGCCTGCTGCCTTGTTTGACCATTTGCCTGCATACTGACCACGCCTCGGCCTTCCGCCTAAACTGACCCTGGCTTGTTAACTGACCATGTTTTTTGCCTGCCGCTTGGACTCATTTTTGCTTGCTGTGACAATGCAAGGCCCCGACCCTGTAGTACTGGGATTCAAGACAACACAGGAGTTTCACTTACGCAGAGTGACTGGCTCCAGAGTATTGTTTCAAAGCAGAGAAAACTAAGCTTTTGGTTTTCTCCGAGATTCCCAGATCAGAGTCTGAAGTCCAGAGGCTTTGAAGAGCTTTTATTGGGAAGAAGCCTCTACCCCTGTCCAAATCTTACCTTACCAAAGCCCTAAGCCTGATGCTTCTGACTGCTGCCTGGACCAATTCTTTGGTTATGACCATGTCTCTGCCTGCTGCCTGTACTGACCCTGGCTTGTTTAATCGGCAATGCTCCGGTCTTCTGCTTGGTCCACTCTTTTGCCTGTTTGCTGACCACATCTCTGCCTGGCACAAGGCACTGTCCCATCTGCACATCCCACTGGCTACATTCCTACAGGACGCCAGTCCCACCCATCCTCTATGGACAACTGCACTACCAAACCACACTCTTTTGTTTGCCATTTGTCCAGCCTTCTGTACTTCCTGGCCAGCCAACAGCATTCTTCTATGGGGCAGCCACGTACCAGTAGGTTAGGCCTCCTTGGCTTTCAGAAACAGGGAATGCTGTAGGTGAAGCTACACTACGCTATATTCAGTGGCCACTCGTACAGAGGTGACCATTACAGACCATTGTTTTCTATAGAGTGTTGGTTGATTTTTTTTTGATACATAGGTTGCAACGTTGGGTACATAATCAGTCCAAACGTTAAGAAAGGTTTTACACACGTGGTATCCTCATACTCAGGTGGAGTAGTAAAATGTGTTTTGGGGTGTAATTCTAAGGTCCCTTTCACAAAGCAGGTCCAATCAGGTCCATCTTTCAGTTTTTCAGGTAGACCTATGGAGAAGAGAGTGTAAAAAAAAAACAGAAGGGAATCCACCCACTTCTGTTTAGTAGTTTGATGTAAACAGACAGCGGAGCCTGCTTAAACCTGGCCACCCATAGAGCGGAGCAGGCTATGTACAGTCATTGGGTCCATTCTAACATTTTTTGGCTCTATACACCACCACAATGTATTTGAAATGAAACAAACAAGATGTGCTTTAACTGCAGACTGTCAGCTTTAATTTGAGGGTATTTACATCCAAATCAGGTGAACGGTGTAGGAATTACAACAGGTTGCATATGTGCCTCCCACTTGTTAAGGGACCAAAAGTAATGGGACAGAATAATAATCATAAATCAAACTTTCACTTTTTAATACTTGGTTGCAAATCCTTTGCAGTCAATGACAGCCTGAAGTGTGGAATGCATAGACATCACCAGACGCTGGGATTTCATCCCTGGTGATGCTCTGCCAGGCCTCTACTGCAACTGTCTTCAGTTCCTGCTTGTTCTTGGGGCATTTTCCCTTCAGTTTTGTCTTCAGCAAGTGAAATGCATGCTCAATCGGATTCAGGTCAGGTGATGGACTTGGCCATTGCATAACATTTCCACTTCTTTCCCTTAAAAAACTCTTTGGTTGCTTTTGCAGTCTACTTTGGGTCATTGTCCATCTGCACTGTGAAGCGTCCAATGAGTTGTGAAGCATTTGGCTGAATATGAGCAGATAATATTCCCGAAACACTTCACAATTCATCCGGCTGCTTTTGTCAGCAGTCACATCATCAATAAATACAAGAGAAGCAGTTCCATTGGCAGCCATACATGCCCACGCCATGACACTACCACCACCATGCTTCACTGATGAGGTGGTATGCTTAGGATCATGAGCAGTTCCTTTCCTTCTCCATACTCTTCTCTTCCCATCACTCTGGTACAAGTTGATGTCGGTCTCATCTGTCCATAGGATGTTGTTCCAGAACTGTGAAGGCTTTTTTACATGTCGTTTGGCAAACTCTAATCTGGCCTTCCTGTTTTTGAGGCTCCCCAATGGTTTCCATCTTGTGGTGAACCCTCTGTATTCACTCTGGTGAAGTCTTCTCTTGATTGGTGACTTTGACACACATACACCTACCTACTGGAGAGTGTTCTTGATCTGGCCAACTGTTGTGAAGGGTGTTTTCTTCACCAGGGAAAGAATTCTTTGGTCATCCACCACAGTTGTTTTCCGTGGTCTTCCGGGTCTTTTGGTGTTGCTGAGCTCACCGGTGCATTCCTTCTTTTTAAGAATGTTCCAAACAGTTGTTTTGGCCACGCCTAATGTTTTTGCTATCTCTCTGATGGGTTTGTTTTGGTTTTTTCAGCCTAATGATGGCTTCTTCACTAATAGTGACAGCTCTTTGGATCTTATCTTGAGAATTGACAGCAACAGATTCCAAATGCAAATAGCACACTTGAAATGAACTCTGGACCTTTTATCTGCTCATTGTAATTGGGATAATGAGGGAATAACACACAACTGGCCATGGAACAGCTGAGAAGCCAATTGTCCCATTACTTTTGGTCCCTTAACAAGTGGGAGGCACATATGCAAACTGTTGTAATTCCTATACCGTTAACCTGATTTGGATGTAAATACCCTCAAATTAAAGCTGACAGTCTGCAGTTAAAGCACATCTTGTTCGTTTCATTTCATATCCATTGTGGTGGTGTAGAGAGCCAAAAATGTTAGAATTGTGTCCATGTCCCAATATTTATGGACCTGACTGTATGTCCTCCCTGCATAATATTGAGAAGATGGATGTGTCATCCACCTGCTCTCCTCCTATCAGCAGGGGATCTGTGAGCAGATCCACCACTGATTGGGACTGATCTCCCCCACATCTTAAAAGGGGCCTAAGTATACCTATGCTGTGTGTTAGAAATAACTTAAAAAATGTACAATTTTGTGTATAAATAATACATTTTATCTTTTTTCAAACACTGGTGGCAAAAAAACACATTTTCAAAACACTCATTATGCCTCTGAGATAATACCTTGGGGTGATTGCGTTCCAAAATGTGGCCTCCAAAAATATGAGTGGTTAGGAAATTAGATGTGTAACTTGTGCCCCTGAAACGTGAAGGTGCTCCTTGGATTTTGGGCACCTCTATGTGGCTAGGTTGTGAAAAGGTCCCACACATATAGTATCACCATACTTAGGAGGAGTAGAAGAATGTGTTTTGTGGTTTAATTATAAGTATGCCTATGCTGTGTGTGGGAAATAACTTGTTAAAATGCCAATTTTGTAATATAAAATTTACTTTCATCATTTTCCAAAGAATTGTGGAAAAAAAAAAATACAACTTAAAAATCCACCATATCGCTTACTAAATACTTTTTTGATTGTCTACTTTCCAGAAAGGGGTCACATAGGAGGCATTTGTACTGTCCTTAGAGCCTCAAGAAATGAGATAGATGTTCTGTTAAGCCTTTAAAATGGCCTGGATTGATTTTAAAAATTCTACTCCCATTGACTTCACTGGGGTTCAGAATAATGCGCAGAACTTAGGGGCGGTTCAGCGAACTTCCCCGCAAACTGAACTCAGGAATGTTTGACTCATCCCTACACCCCTCTGTGAGATCTCTGATGTGTAACAAGGTGAGATTTCCGTTTGTAACGTTTTCCGCACTCGGGGCAGGAATACATCTTCTCCCCAGTGTGAGATCTCTGATGCCTAACAAGTTTTGATTTCCATGAAAAACATTTCTTGCACTCAGGACAGGAATAGGGTTTCTCCCCCGTGTGGATTCTCTGATGTGAGTAAAGATAGGACAACCTTGAAAAACATTTCCCACACTCAGGGCAAGAATACGGCTTCTCCCCCGTGTGCAATCTCTGATGTTTAACAAGGCCTGATTTTTCTGAAAAAGATTTTCCACACTCAGGACAGGAATATGGCTTCTCTCCTGTGTGAGATCTCTGATGTCTAACCAGAACTGATGTCTGTGAAAAACATTTTCCACACTCAGGGCAGGCATATGGCTTCTCCCCTGTGTGAGATCTCTGGTGTCTCGCAAGTTGTGATTTATCTGTAAAACATTTCCCACATTCAGGGCAGGAACATGACTTCTCTTCAGTGTGAGATCTTTGATGCCTAACAAGTTTTGTTTTCCAAGAAAAACATTTCCCACACTCAGGGCAAGAATACGGCTTTTCATCTGTGTGCATCTTTTGATGTGAGTAGAGAGAGGAAAACTGTGAAAAACATTTCCTGCACTCAGGGCAAGAATACAGCTTCTCCCCCCGTGTGAGATCTTTGATGTATAACAAGATCTGATTTATTTATATAACATTTCCCACACTCAGGGCAGGAAAATGGCTTCTCCCCAGTGTGGGATGTCTGATGTCTAAGCAGAACTGATTTCCGCGAAAAAGTTTTCCCGCACTCGGAGCATAAATATGGCTTCTCCCCTGTGTGAGATCTCTGATGTGTAACAAGTTGTGATTTCTGTGAAAAACATTTCCAGCACTCAGGGCAGGAATATGGCTTCTCCCCCGTGTGAGATCTCAGATGTCTAGCAAGTTGTGATTTATCTATAAAGCATTTCCCACATTCGGGGCAGGAATTTTGCTTTTCTCCTGTGTGAGATCTGCAATGTATGACAAGTTCTGATTTATGAAGGAAACATTTCCCGCACTCAGAACAGGAATGAACCTTCTCACCTGTGTGAGATCTCTGATGTACAGTGAGACTTAATTCAGAGGTAAAACTTTCCCCGCATTCAGGACAGGAAAAGGTCTCCTCCCCCTGAATTCCGTCACCATCCCTCAGAGTACGAGGTTGCTCGGAGTCAGAGGGATTTGTTGGTCCATCCACATTGTGAAGTCCACCATCCATAACTGAGATCATTGTCTTTTCTCCTCCACAATCTCTTGTGATGTCCTCATCTTCCATTTTACATCCTGGAGATAAAGTGAGACGATCCTTTGAGGGTTTCTTGATGGCGTGTCCTGGAACAAAATATAAAAACAGGATTGATAGATACTAGATGGTTAGCTCACTTAAATCATGATTCCACCTAGATCAGATAGATTTGAGTGGGCAGATGTTCTCTGTGGATGACCCAACCAGTTGGAAATCTTTCCCCTTCAGTCAAAGGACCTTTGGTCCTCCTCCCAGATCACTTCAAAATCTAAGAAGCCAACACAACCACACGCCTAGGCACTGTCTCAGGCGATCTCTGCTAATCAGAAGGTTCAAAGAACAGACTTGCAGACCCTTAGCATATTTTACGTTCACTTTTATTCTGTTTTTGGGTTCTTGAGGTTCACCTGCATATGCTAGCTGCTAATTTATATTTTCCCAGCGCTGGATTACTCATTTTTATTTCTAGACCCTTAACATAGAACAAGTGACCATTGGACTAAGATTTTGGCAACACGGGAGGGTTTTTGGAGAAGTGTTTTCTACTTAACCCCTTCCCCTCCAAAGGATTTCCCCCCCCCCCCTCTTCCTGACCAGGCCATTTTTTGCGTTACGGCGCTGCGTTACTTTGACAATTTTGCGGTCATGCAACTCTGCACCCAAATGAAATTTACGTCCTTTTTTTCCCCACAAATCTTTCTTTCGGTGGTATTTAATTGCCTGCACGTTTTTTTATTTTTTGCACTATAAAAACAATAAAAGACTGACAATTTTGAGAAAAAAAAAAAACAATATTTTTGACTTTCTGCTATAAAACATGTCCAGAAATTTTTTTTTAAAAAATCAAACTTCATCATAAATTTAGGCCAAAATGATTTCTGCTCCATGTCTTTGCTAAACAAAAAAAATCCCAATACGTGTAAATGAATTGGTTTACGTGAAATTTATAGTGTTTACAAATGGTGGTATATATACTGGAATTTTTTCTTTTTTTTAATAGCAATGGCGATGATCAGTGACTTATAGCAGGAATGCGGCGGGCATTCTGACACCTAGGGGAAATGACTTGGTGTCACTGACGTTTGACACCAATACAGTGATCAGTGCTAATAAAAACTGTTCACACTCTGCTGTCAGTGTCAGTAAAGTTGTGACGTCTTGAACCCTCTCCCACCTTCTTCCGGTGTCTGCAGGCGAGGCATGCCGGGAGTTGTAGTCTCGGCGCTCCTCTGCATTTGTTCCTCTCCTGGCTGACACGTCGGGACCGCACGGAGCGGGCGATCAGATATCGTTGGTGTACAGTGGAGGAGCAGTGCTTTTTTGGTGGAGCCGTGATCATTTTCTGCCATCTAGTGGATTTCTTCTGCCTAGCTCTGTATCATCGTGTGGACCTTCATTGACCAAGGGAATACATCTACTCTTCCCATGCTGATGACTACTTTATGAACTCCATCCTTCCTACACTGCACTATTAATGTGCACTTCTGGTTAGTGTGCATTGTTACCCTAGGGTCACCACAGTTGGGACTTTTTTTGATCACTTTTTATTGTGTCACATTTATTTAATTTCTAGCGCTGCACTTTTATTTTATTTATTAACAAAAAGCATTGACACTGTACTAATGGCACTGGGCAGGAACGGGTTAACATCTGGGGTGATCAAAGGGTTAACTGTGTGCTGTTTTGCTGTGTGTGTTTTCCACTGTAAGCGCACTGCTTTGTATGGCTCTGCTATGCAGAGCCATACAAAGAACTGTGCAGGAGCTGACAGGGGAGAGATCTCTGTTTAAACACAGGTCTCTCCCCCTTGGTAATTCTCAGAGATTGCCGGGTGGCTGGGACCCGGTGATTGACAGCTAAGGCTGGGAAAGGCGGCGCGGGTAGGATGTGCATGCGCCCCTTACCCAGAACTGCGAAATCACATATATATACGCAATTTTGCACACTCGTACCACCCCTGTAGCATAGGGTGGCGCAGAAGAAGTTAACAGATGTGATTCAGTTTTTTATGTTCCTTCCTAATTTTTATACCAGCAAGACTTTAAATAAAGTTTTATGTTAACCTTCAGTCTGCTGAAAGAAGAAAACTCAAGGCAGAATCTGTGTTATTACATCTGTGCTACCGTAACCAGGGAAAAAACCATGACCTAGTACTGCCAGATGAACCCCACAATCTACATCAACAGGGAGGAGCGGTTGCTTATTTAGAGGTTGGACAAAAAGGCTAACTAAATGGCTGTTCAGCTGAGCCAAACCTCTGGCTGTAAAGTGAAACATTTTGCAGCGGTATTAGTAATGATGGTAATTGCTGAACATGAGATCTTCCCACTCAAGCTGGCTGTTTGAGTATCCTGGCCCATTCAGCACTCAGCCAAGAATTGCCCACAGACAGGTGGATGTTAACAAAGAGGCAGGGATTAAAAAAAAAAAATTATAAAGTTGTGGGGTTCCCCCCACATTTACACATGTCCCTTAACCACTTGCCTACCGGGCACTTATACCCCCTTCTTAACCAGGCCAATTGTCAGCTTTCAGCGCTGTCGCACTTTGATTGACAATTGCGCGGTCATGCAACATTGTACCCATATGAAATTTTAAGCATTTCTTTCTCACAAATAGAGCTTTCTTTTGGTGGTATTTAATCGCCACTGGGCACTTTACTTTTTGCGCTATAAACAAAAAAATGCAAAAAATGTGAAAAAAAAAGTTTCTTTATTTCTATTATAAATTTTTCAAACAGGTAATTTTTCTCCTTCACTGATGTCCGTTGATGAGGCAGCACTGATGAGCACTAATAGGCAGCACTGATAGGCAGCACTAATGAGGCGGCACTGATAGGCAGCACTAATGAGGTGTCACGGATAGGCGGCACTGATAGGTGGCACTGACTGGCATCGCTGCTGGGCACTGACTGGCGGCACTGCTAGGCATTGACTAGCGCAACTGCTGGGCACTGACAGGCACAACCGCTGGGCACAGGTGTGTGGCACTGCTGGGTGGCACAGGAGGGTGCACTGCTGGGCGGCACTGCTGGGCACAGGTGGGCAGAACTGGTGGGTGGCACTGCTGGGCACCGATCATCAGGGTACTGATCATCAGTGCCCTGATGATCAGTGCCGATCTCTGCTCTGACAACTGCCAGTTCTCAGCAGTACTTTCATCATGCTCCGACAGCGTGAGGAAAGTGCAGCCGAGAACCGGCAATTGCATTTCCCGGTGATCAGTGTGTCATTGGACACCGCTGATCACGTGGTAAAAGGCCACTGTGATTGGCCTTTTACCACATCACGTGATCAGCTGTGTCCATAGGACACAGCGATCATAGAGATCGCCGGGTGCGCACCACTGGGGGCACACAGGAGAGCACGTTCTGGGAGGACATCATATGACGCCCTCCCAGAACTGGCCGGCCGCAGTGTAGCCGTCATTCAGCTATCTGCGGTTGGCAAGTAGTTAAGGGTTGATATAAATTTTAAAGAGGGAACACCATGCAAAAAAAAAAAAAAAACAGTAAAAAGTGTGAAGCCCCCTAAAATCCATAACAGACCCTTATATAAGTATGCAGGAAAGGAGGGCCCCCTTCCAGAACCATACCAGACCACATGCAATCAACATAGGGGGTACCCTGAAAAAGCACCTAGGCCCCATGTTGATGAGGACAAGGGCCTCTATCCACACAACCTTGGCCTGGTAGTTGTCGGGGTCTGCTGGTGAGGAGCTTATCAGACACAAGAAAGCCACCTTTAACCACTTAAAGTCTGGACACTTTCACCCCCTTCCTGCCCAGGCCATAGAGGGAACTTTCTTTTGTATTTATCACATTAGGATTTTTTTTATTTTTTGCTAAATAAAAGGAAAAGAAGCGTGAAAATATGAAAAAAAAAACACTTTAGTTTTTTGTTATGAAATTTTTCAAATAAATAATCTTTCTTCATAAATTTAGGCCAGCAATTTCTTTGGTAAGAATAACTCAAATCAGTGTATATTATGTACCCTGTGTGAAAGTTAAAGTCTACAACTACGGGATATACATTTGAAAAGTAATCAATCCTGATATACTAACTCATTTCTTGAGGCCCTGAATTGTCAGGACAGTACAAATACCCCCCAAATGACCCCTTTTAGAAAGTAGACAGTCCAAAGTATTTAGTAAGAGGCATTGTGAGTTTTTTGAAGTTGTAATTTTTTGCTGTAATTTTTTGGAAAATTAAAAAATTAATTTTTTTTTTGTTCACATAGATGTCATTTGAACAATTTCTCACACACAGCATAGGCACATTCACATTTACTCCCCAAAACACATGCTGCTACTTCTCCTGAGTATGGCAATACCCCGTGTGAGACCTTAACCATATAGAGAGACCGAAAATCCAAGGAGCACCTTCAAGCTTTCCAGGTGCATAAAGTACACATCTAATTTCCTGACTACCGATCACATTTTTGGAGGCCCAAAAGCACCAGGAAAGTGGACACTGTGGCCGTGTCCTTGCAGCGACTGCGTCCCAATAGTCATCAATGGGACTGCCTACACAATTTTTTTTTGTTTACATTTAAAGAAAAAAAAGATCACTGTCACCAGGGCAGTGCAGTGTCACTATGGTGTCATTTGAACAAGTTATTTATCACACACAGCATAGGCACATTCACATTTACTCCCCAAAACACATTCTGCTACTTCTCCTGAGTATGGCGATACCACGTGTGAGACCTTTTCACAGACTAGCCATATAGAGAGGCCAAAAATCCAAGGAGCACCTTCAGGCTTTCCAGGTGCATAAATTACACATCTAATTTCCTGACTACCTATCACATTTTTGGAGGCCAAAGAGCACCAGGACAGTGGAAACTGTGGCCGTGTCCTTGCAGATACTGCGTCCCAATAGTCAGCAATGGGATTGCCTACACAATTTTTTTTTTTTTTTACATTTAAAGAAGAAAAAGATCACTGTCACCAGGGCAGTGCAGTGTCACCA